TGACGCGTAATTAAACGATAATTAAGTAAACAATCCTCCCTCTCTCGGCTCGGACCGAGAAAATTTGCACAGCGGCAAACCGGGGAATTGTATCTTTATCCAGTGTTACCGAAAGATAAACTAAAACTACGATATACGTATCGTCGATTAACAATTTCTCCCACTGTTTGTACAATTTATATATATATATATATGTGTGTGTATGTGCGCGAATCTAGATTTTCTGGCAATTTCATCAGATCGCCAGAAGCCTGTAACCTGTTCCAACTTGTGATTAATTCTCCTCGTTTTCTTGTCGGTGCAACAACGATCCGGAAAGCGTGTAATTTTAACGTAACGATGTCTTAAAATCAAGAAAAAGAAGAAGAATATCGACGAATATTACGATATTCTCGTTGCAAATAACGAACGAAGAAAGGGGGGAGGCTTAATCACGATTTATCCAGTCGTAAATCTTTAATAACAAAATTCCATCATCCGATCGATTCGAAGGTATCGGTGGTGTCGTTGTTTCGTTATAAAAAAAAATAGCACGTATAGGCAAATATAGCGATGTTCCAGTGAACACGGGAGAACAAACCGGTAGAAGCGTTTTAGAATTGAGTTACTCCGGCTATTGGGAGGCAATGAAGCATCCCTCGCGAATTTGCCCTCCTTCCTTCCCTCCCCCCTCGAGTTTGCGCAAGCTTTGCTAGGCCGTCGCTTTCCTATATATTCGTTTCGAAGGTTCGCACAAAAGAGTGGCAGAAGGCTGCACTCTAATACGAAATCAATTTTTCTATGACGATGGTTTTCTCGTTGTCAAAGATTTTCCATTCTATTGAATGGATACAAAAAAAAAAAGAAAAATACGTATACACACCTCTCTCTCTCTCTCTCTATCTATCTCTCTGTATGATTGGCGTGGAAAAAGTATCGTTGCCATTGTTAAATTTCGTTCACTTCCTTTCCCTTCCGATCGGATGCGAACGAACGGAACGGGAGGAAAAAAAAAAAAAAAAAAAAAAAAAGAAAGGAGTAAAATGTGGAAAAGCGGTCAAAATGCGCGGATGGTGAAAGTGTCTGGGAGGATATCGCGGCTGACTACGCGCCGACCGTAACCACTGTGCATCGACGAGGAGATGGATAAACACCGGATGAATAAAAAGATTGATTCGAGAAAGGTTTTCGATTCGACGATGGACGAAAGGATCGAGCTAGTGATCGAGTTCGAATCGATTTATTAAGAAGAAAGAGGAAGAGAAAAGAGAAGAGAGAGAGAGAGAGAGAGAGAGAGAGAGAGAGAAAGTAGCCACGATCCTTACGAAAGGAAAGAATCGAATGGAAATTTCAATATTTACGTCCAATCGGATGGGAAATTGGGGAAAATTTCACTCCGGTTCTCACGACGATATCCATCGATTCCATCCGAGTTGAATTTCATGCTCTGACAAGAGTGACAGCCTATAAATTGAGATTTGATCGATGACCTTCAGGTTGGTAATAACTGGCACGGCCAATGTTTGCTCATGGGAATTCTAGAATGGAACTGCTGGTAACCGGAACCCTCCCCCTCCTCTCCTCGGGCGGGAGGAGAGAAAGAGCAACCTAATTCCCCGGCCGAGTTCCCTTCTCTAAGTAGGAAAATAAAAAGTTCTTTTAATCCGCGCGATCCGAAGCAAGGAAGGGGGAGGCAGCAAGAACAAAGGACGTCCTCTATTACGGATGGAAAAAAAAAAAAAGCCGAAGATTTTCTTGGGGAACACGCCGTAAGCGCTATTGATTACGCTGAAATGAAATTTCATCCTGCTACCATCCCCCCGCCCGACCGAGTCATTTTCGTTCTCCTCCTCCTCCGCTCAACATTTTCAAATTGTCGCCTCTCGAAAATTCCGCCCGCGCATCGTCACCGAATAAATCACACGGAGGAGGCGCGGAGGATGGGAATCTGAATCCGGGCCATGACGAATTTATTTAACGGTATATAACGAACGTTATCCCATTCGTAACGGAAACGCACGCTTACGATCGCGAGAGACGTTCGAAACGAGAAGAAGATTTTCTACTTATTTCTATCGTTGAAAAAGCAAAAGAGAAAGGATTGCGAAGCACAAGGCGATCCGTGCTATCATAAAAGAAGAGATAGAGTCGTATAATTGAAAGTAAGATCAAGGGGATGTTTTTATCACGTCGAAACATCACGTCGTAAAAAGTTTTACGTTCCCGTTCTCTGGTGGCCAACTTGCCTTTTAACGAACTTCGGATCGGAACCTCGCGTTTAATTATCCCGATTAAGGTTTACCGTGCGTCTCGAGCCGTGGCTCACAACTTCTCGGGCGTATTGCGTCGAATTCATCTCCCTTTCGATTCATCCACTCTCTCGAGAGCACGGAAAGGGAGAGAGGGAGCAAGCAGGTGGAGAGTAGCTGGCAGCGATAGGTCAACCGATCCGTAGAATCGAACCTTGATCTACACTCCGAAGAACTATACGCATGGCTGGGTTGGAACTGGGATATCCATCGATTGACATGTCCAACGGTCGAGTGGATCTGTTTACCCGCAACCGATTCTCCGTGGACGACATGTTCTAGGCCGGGATTTAAACGGACGGGATCGATCCACTCTCACGGACACGGTTAAACTCGCTCCTCCCCATCCACGCGCCGTCCATTTCATTTTCCAATTAAACGCGCGTCTCTTCGCCGGTCGAAGGCGTCTCCCGCCGTTAAAAATCGTCGACCCGTACGAGAACGACCGATACGAGGAAGGAAGAGTACAACGTAAGTGGGATACTCGCGATTGGGAAACGACTCGTCCCTGACCGCCTCCGAGAAGAGGATTGGATTAAAGTTTGGATAGATCGGGGCAACCGATAAAACGGCCGATACTCGAGAGGTCGTGAATTTCTTGGTCGACGTAGCGAGGGGATACGGTCGAAATAATCGCGTTACTTGGTGTTACGTGATCTACAACGGGTATCCACCCGGAAATTCTAACTATCCTATATTCGGCTCGATATAATCCCGTCGAATGCCACTTTGGTCAAGCGGGGGAGAAGTTTGCGCGGCTGACAATTGTTAACAGAAGCGTATTGAAAGGATCGGCCTTATCAACCTGCCGATTTGACGTTTCGTATCAAAGAACCGGGACCCCGCCGACGCGATTGTTTCGAACCCCGCTACATTCATCATCGATCTGTACTTCGTTCGATTTAAGCGGGATAATCTCCTATCCTAGAGTTTCTACTAACGGTATGCTCGCGTAATCTAATCTGTTTCGATCGATAGGATCATTTCGTTTCGCTCGATGGAACTCGAAATCTTCCCTGTCTTCGATCCAATTTCCCGATTTCCAAATAAAAAAATTCGACCAATTTTTCGAAACCAGCCACACACACACACACACACGCAATAATTAGAAACGAGATACACGTTCCCGATAACGAAGCATTTGCCAAATATTTTCCGTTCGGACCTCGCGGCTATTCGATTTAATTCGTGAATTCGAAGCGTATCGTATCCACCGATTTTAACGAACAGATATCAAAGAATAGGAAGGGGGACTCTCTCCTCTTTCCTCGAGATTCTCTACCTCGAAAGCTTCGAGATACGCGTTTCTATGTTTTCGCAAATCCCAGAATCCAATTTCCAACTGTCTCTCTCTCTCTCTCTCTCTCTTTTTTACGCGAGAAATTCCCACGCATAGAAAGTTAGAAACGATCGAAGATACAGTCGGATACTCAAAAAGGTTAATCAAAGAAGAGCGGAACACGTGTAAATGCAGGATCTACAAGAGTGGAGCGCAGCTTAGCGCGCTAGTCCGATCCTTGCGGTCTTCGTGTTGTACGCGAGGATTGAAACTATACTCGTCCCTTTCTCTCTCATGGGCCAAACCCATCCCTCCCGTAATTCCTGATCCGGATTTGAATTCCGCCGTATCTATCCGTCCTCGCCCACCTTCTAAAAGACGTTTTCCGATCTCCTTCCCCTCTCGTCCCCCCCTGACCCATTCTCATTCGTATAGGGCGATAAATCCTTCGATCAACCGGGGGGGAGGGCGGGGAGGTAAATTGAAATTCCGATATCTCGGTTAAAACAACGTGGCGTTCCGGAGGGAACAATTTTTCCACGGTCTCACGTCGATTTATCCAAGTTTAGGCAAACAGATTTCTCTACCCGTGTTCCTTTCGTTTCCTCTTATTTTTTCCATT